AAGCCTGCCATTTTCAAAGCAATTATAATCCCATGTGGAGGTAGATTATAGGATTTCACTTCCTTTGTTGGCAAAAGGCCGGATTTGTAGATGTCATGTTCGCAAAATGAATGGTTCTAATTGAATTTGTGTGATATGTAATTTATGATTTTCATCACCCAGTAGTTACATTTTGGTTCTTTTTTTTTCTTTTGGGGGAAAAAATGCTATTTTAAAAAAGACACACACAGACTGACTAAATATTCATTTACAAAAAAAAGATAACAGATAAAACTTAACAAACAAGAAAACTGAGCTTATTCAGAGGTCATACCAGAACCTTGCATATTATTGATTTAAATGTGTGTGCGTGTGTGTGTGTGTGTGTGTGTGTGTGTGTGTGTGTGTGTGTGTCTTGTACTGTACTACGTTGTATTTCAATATTCACCAATGCACAAACGCTGCCAAGCAGATAAAAAAAAATTCCTTTTCATCCACTTTGCAAAAATAAGATTAAGGCATCATCCATTCAAGTGACTGTAATTACATTGAATTTTCTTTTGCCATAAATTCTCACACTAATTAGTCCCCATCGTTTAATGAGGATGCAAATAAAGCTGATTCGATGACGAGAACGCAGCCTATGCGCTCCTACCTTCCTGTGGGTAGCACGGATGGATCGGCTGTTCAAAAGCACCAAAGTGACGAGATTGCCACTGTGCGTTCCTCCGCCTGTTCGCGCCGCTAACTCCGAGCTATTGTAATGAGGAGTGTGACAACTATGGAAATGAGTTCCAAGTTTTAAAGAAAAAAAAACTGTGTGTGCGTTTGGTTCTTAAATCTGTGAAGTTAATTTCTTAGAGTTCCAAAGTGCTGCAAGAGAAATCGTATATCTTCTGAAGTAAAAAAAATAATAAAAAATCAGTTCATACTGTGTATATGTACAGCTTCCAGATGTCAGTGCTATCCTCATTTACCAATCTGGCAGCTTTCCTAAATCAGTTTCATAGTTTAGGTTTAACACCCTGTATCCCGTCTGTTTTTTATCTCCCTAGAAAACTCCATACATCTAACTGTTACATAAAGTTAGAGTTAAGCTCTGTGGTGTTTTGACAGGATGTGTTCTCAGAGCTGGAGACATGCTGCCTAATTTAACCAACATCCCTGCTTACGGTTATGCTGTTGCCCTTACTTGACCATGTGATGCATCTTGGCTAATCAAAGTAATTACGTGGAGGGGTTTTTATTTTCCACCTCAAAGAAAACTTCTACAGCGACAGAGCATTATGCCACATTGAACAATGAGCTCATTAAAATGCATTCCAATCATCTGGGATTAGACTTTACAGTCCATTTCAGATCAATGGATAAAAACATAACAGCAGCACCACTGCATTATTTATCAGCCTTTTCAGTTAGATCATAGCCCCCTTTTGTGTTTTTACGTGTAACATGTTTCACGTCCATGAAAAAAATAAAATAAATAAACTTTTTTTTTTAAATCAGTGCATTTACAGCTGACACTCACAGTTGATTTCATATTCCAATTGTTTTTTTCTCTGACGAACACCAGATAACATAATTAGTACAAGTGCAGTTCTGTAACAATGCAGATACACCGCAGCACTGCAGCTGACGAGGAATTTGGAGAATAAAACCGGATCCTGTCAGGGTGTGACAGCCTAGTTAGTTTTACAGCTGCACCTGCTCTATTAGATCCAAGTCTCTCTTAAATAATAATAAATAATAAAACAAAGCAGCGGCTAAGGTGCTGTTATATCAAGACTGCCCCTCTTGGTATTGATATATTATAAACTGTACGCTGACTTCATGCATGCAGCAAGGGTAAATAGGTAGAGCACCTGCTAAGTATAACTTAATGACAAAACTCTTATCAGACAACGCATTAGGGAGCGTGTTTCATTTTATCATTAGGAGGCACAAATTCTCCATTAACTTCTGCCAGCAAATGCACTGACAATGTAAATGCAAATTGGTTACACTGAAAACCAGTACTATTTATCAAGAGTGGCCTGGTTTGTGCAGCAGCACTCTTGGCAATGAGAACTTGTGCTCACTGTGCTGGCAGGTGGGGAGAGTGCATAGCCAGGCTTGTGTGTGTCATGTCACATTCAGCTCATCTGTCAATGTAGTGGATTATTTCTTGAGAGACCAGAATTGGCTTCCCAGAATCAGGGCACCATCAATCTTCAGCCGCACGAGCAGGACACGCGGGAGGCTGTGTGAAGCGGAGGCTCGCGGGAGAGAGTGCGGCGCCGCGCTTCCCGAGCAGGTGACGAAGCAGTCGGGCAACTCGTTACTCAATCGCAGCATCAGCTGTGTCTATGGCGATTTGTCACTGAAACGTTTGGAGAAATAAATAAACAAACAAGTGCAATGTGAAATCTTCGCCCAATCTGTGGTGCCTTATTTTAACGTGTGCTGTGAGTTACTGTTGCAGGAGGCAGAGAAGCTGATTTCTCAAAAACTGTTAGCTGCTTCAACAGGCTGGAAGATAACATGACCTTCACTTCCCCTCCTCATATATATACCCACACAGCCCCTTCGCTGTGGGTTTTTTGTTTGTTAGCTTTTGTACCACTCAGTTTCTCAGGCAGTCTGCCAAGCTGCATTCACAGAGCCATGCAAAGTAATTTCAGGGCATGTTTTCTTTAAAGGTACCAACCTCCAATTTCAGCATCATCATCTCAATGAAATGTATCTTTTAAAAATTGTGACTTAATAGCAAACATAAAGCATGTTAGTCTAATGTAACATTATACTTCTATTCACAAAATATGTTTCAGTGCTTCATGAGGAAAGCTCTACTGAAACTTAACTTGCAGTAGGACCATGCAGCACATGATATCATTCTTTAGAAACACAGAAACATCCGCTTATGGAAAACAGCAGAGCGTGAAAGCCAATGGATTTTTCAAGGCAAGACATCTCTTTCTTGCCACGTCCTACATAGCCATATCTATTTATATCTGAGGGTTCTGGCCTCAATGAAACCAGAGAGCTTCTCAAATTATAAAATCAATTCTAATTCAAATATTCATCATAGCATTTCAATTCTGAGAGAGGAGTTCTGGTTAGATCGGTTAACGCCACTTCACGGATGAGTAAGATTGATGTCAGCTTAATCCTCTAGAAAAAAAAAAAACCCAAAAAACATGATATACAGTAAATTGTCCAGTCAGACAACAGCAGCTGGAGGGGATGCATTCTGTGAGCAGTCAGATGTGATAGAACAATGCCTGCTGGGAAGTCTGCTGATTAGGACTGTAAAACTTCATAATACACTGGCAGACTAAGATTATAAGTGCATTGTTCTGCACTTGTCTATTTGTCTCTGTTTGTTAAGTTTTAAAGTTTTCTAGAAATTACTCATTGCACCCGTCTCAGTGAGAATCCCAGAGATGTTATTCAAAATTGAGTGGCCCAACCAGAAACACCCCAGTAACATGAATTAAATCTGGGTCAATCACCCATCTCTGTGTTTGAAACTTGCTACTGAAATGCACCCTAAACACAGCTCCAGTATCCCCACAGCACCCATGAGGAAAGGCCACAGCATAATGGCCTTAAAGACGAGACTTCATTTACATCCCTGTACCCTCCTCGGTGCAGTAAATGCATGAGTTGATCTGTCTGACAGGAAAAACCCTTCCCTATCACCATCTTGTGGTTGGATGCCTCTTCTAAATGTACAAGGAAGGGTGTGGAGGCCAACCACTACTTTTTCCCCCCCTCAGCCCCTTTGGGATCACTGCATTATTCAAAAAAGACATTTACTGAGCCATGCACTTCCTTGTACATCTTTGGCACCAAGCTTGACTTGCCAACCAGTCAAACCCAAAAAAAAGGGAGGAGGAGGAGAAGGGAAAGGGGGGTAAAAAAAAAAAAATGAAGGCAGCCTTTAAAAAATTCATTCTGAGCTCTCTATTGCTCATCCCTTACTGTCTTGTTCCAATTAACGGGGCTGGGATACTTTGAGAACTTTCTATCTATCATAGCTGGGATTTTCATGTGTCAGCTATTCCACAGAAAAAAGTACGCCAGCTCTCTGACATGCTGCTTAAAGCCACCAATGTTCAACACAAGCATAGAGAATTCAATGCTGGATTTTTTTTCCACTTGCTGTGCTTCAATTACTGTCTTTTTGCCTGGCAATGCAACACACACAAAAGGGAACCAAGCAGAAGATAGCATCAATGTTTAACAGCCGCTTGGCATCCACAGAAAGCTCCGCTCCGCACAAGAGTTCAGCACAGAAGTCGCACTTATTGTTAGAAGCTTAAGGAAAGCACTTGCTTTGCTCTAAAAACCTTCGCCTCCCATGTAACAGTTCTACATACACTATAAGCGATTCTGGTAAGCTTCTCCGTAATCAGTGAATTAGAGCCACCTCTGTGTCTACCTCCCCTTTTGCCCTTACAGTGCAGCAAGGCGTCGGGCTTAATTGCCAAATGTTTCCAGTGCAAAAGAGGGGAACATAATTGTCATTTCTATCTAAGCCGCAGTGATCAAAGCTCCCCTGGCTACCAGCACAGTAATGGGGATTTCTCTCTACAGCTTGGCCTATTCGTAACAGTGTGCCAGCAAGATTCACGCTGCAGTAGTCAAGAATTCCACATCGCGACTGTGAATCATCGTTCCACTAGCTAACTCGGAGTGCTGAAAGGATGTCGTCCTCGTTGAGGTCTACACACAGAGATGGGGCGCAGCAGCCATATTTCTCCAATAGGTTGCAAAAAATGTATATGGGTAGGTTTGATTAAATTAACCTAGGATAACGCATGATTAGAGGTAGCTGTCTTTGCTTATCTTGTATGACTGCGAGCACAGTGAATCATCTTGTACAGTACCGTGGCAAATCATCCTGACATACTGCAGCAGTGTCTCGCTGTTGCCTTTTAAACAGCCAAAGCTGACAACTGCTGCCCCATGGAGAGGGCACCATGTTTCACTGTAACAGGGTGCTATGAAGCTGAAATCTGACAAAGAGGGACACGTACCCAGGGTGAGAATGTCAGTGCGACCAGGCCGGGCCACATGGTGCTGTTGGATGGTCTGGTAGAGAGTTGCCTGGCACAGCAGCAGGAAGCCGAGGCTAATCCACATGGCCAACAACCAGGACATGGTAAGGCCGAGTCTGCAGGATGGCACGCCGCGGGGGAGAAACAACAGGGGGACAGGGGCAGAGTTGTATTACAGCATGTCTCCATATATATTTACAACACACACTGTGTTTATTTCATGTGCCAAAAAGACAAACAATGCTGACATCAACCACACACATCAAGACCACCGCGTCGAATACTGTCACCCGTTCTTTGTTTTGTTTTTTTCAAAGTAACACAGCTAATGGGAAGAAAAAGACGACAAAGGGGCTTTGAGGGAAATCCCAGCGGTCAAACACAAACTTTAACATGCTAATATCACACCACAAAAAGGAGAGCAAAGAAACACGGGGAAAAAAAACACCCTGCCTCCAATTTTTTTTAGACTGTAAGAATGATTCACCCCTTTTAGGAAAACCAGAGTTATTAAAAACAACAGCAAGACTGTGTTTCTAAGCACAGGCAGCCTTCTCGCAGATTTGTGCAGCGACTGCCTAATGGCTGGTGAGGGCCAGCATATGGAGACACGCCTTAGCCCTTATTGAATAATGAGGCTCTCCTCCTTTCCAGGTGTTATTAGGGCCTCTCTCCACAGCATACC